ACAACTTAGCAGTTCACTTTTAATAATTTATAACAAAATCCAAATCCTGCAGAAATGCAAAGTACCTTGTGGACTTTGAGTTTATTACATAGAGGAAGTACACAGAAACAATCCCCATTAAAAATAAGGATATGAGGTATACCCAAACCGTATATAAGTCTCAAGGGCAGCATATTTATTTACAGCATTAATTATATTAACTTGCTTCATGGATGACCCATTATTCAAAATAACTAGTACCTTAGTCTTTGAGTAGCCACTTGGTTTTCATTGCAAGTATTCTATTCCAGGTTAAGTCAGTTGTTATATCACTCTCATCCTCATAGTATCTGAATGTATTCCAGTAAGTGATGTGTCTGATATCTAGCATATCTGAGTTCTTTCATCCTTTCCTTTGCAGGTGGAGAAGTGTAATCAGTAAAATACCTTGATTTGGTAGGGGTTAGAGAAGCCTCTAACCTTGAAGATAATTTAGTACATTTTCAATTACTAGTTCACAAGGAAAATATCTACTCACTATGTTTATGGCACATTTTAAAAATCTGTATAGTAAAATTCATCTTTCAAGAGCACCTTTCCTTATCAACTGTAACCCAAATCCTATGCACAAGTAATCCCACTGAAGTCAGAGTGAATGTTTGTCTGTGTAAAGAAGGGGTGTTTGCACCCTGGGCAAACCTGGCAGGAGATTGTGGTGGAGGGAAGGGGCAGGCAGGGAGGTGCTGCTGAAAATTGGAGGAGCAGAGGTTCCAAGAGTAGGAAAGTGGGGTGACATGCAAGCATTTGAGTTGAGGACTCAAAAAGAGTCCCTGGATGCCGCTGTAAAAGCCACAACTTTTGCTCCTAGAGACCATAGGGTTGCTTCTGCTGCTGAGGTCTGGCCTCTGGGCGTGGTGGCGGGGAGCGTTTCCAGTACACCTACTAAATTGGCGACCAGGGCTGGAGCTCTGTTGGGCCACCCCAAATTACTGGCTTAGAGTTAAGCAAATCCATAAGCAGTGTCAATTTTCACCACATTAGGAGGTAGTGTAATCAATTTTCCATTGAACTAATGACATTTTACCTACCTAGTTTTTCCTCGGTGGTTGCACAAACTGTTCTTCACTTTCTGTCTTGAACTGCTGCAAGTGTTCTTAAAATGCTTTTAATCACTGCTAAATGTTTTCCCTGTTTTAACCTAGGGAAGTGGTCCTCGCTCCTACCTTAGGTAAATTCAAAATAGAAGTTGGACGAACACCTGTCTGGGGTCATGTGATCCCATGGCATGCTCCTGCCAGTGGTGGGGGGTCAGACTAGATGATCTGTTCAGGTCCCTTCTGACCTCAAGCTACTATGAAATTATGAAACCATTAAATGCCTTCCTCCTAGTGACGTGTGAAGTGATTGTTGTCTACGTAAAATCTGTATAGTATAATAGTACAATGTAAAATCAGTATACTACAATAGTATAGTAATTACAGCACGTTGGAGCAGACTTGATTAATTGGTAATTAGCATGGTAATTACCATGCTCCAGCAAACTCCAGCATCGTGCATATCAGCATCCCTGTGCTGAAAAATGGCGGTGGAGACTTTAAAGCTCATTTGATGAGCTCTAGCTCAAAGCACCTCGTCACTATTTTTCAGCATGGAAATGCTGATACATGTGATGCTCTGGGCATATTTCATTAGCTGTGCTAATTAAAGCATCCCCCCCCCCCATGCCCTTCCCCCTGCCCCCAAGAGCTTGTCTATAAACGCCCTATGTGTAGCATTCGGCAGACTGGGGAGAGGACAGGTAATACTGTGGGAGGGAGCACAGCAGCAGATTGGGCAGGGGAAGGGGATCAGAGTGGCACTTGGAGAGGTTGTGGGGCTAACTTATGGTACACCTGCCAAAAAGGTTGGCCCCTACTATTCTAGTTTTTGGGTTGTTATGTAGATACATGCTAAAAAAAAGAACAGATTGCAAAGTTAAGCATTCAAATGTTAGGAACAGCCAGAATTAAGGTTGACCTGTTGTCTGTGTGTGTGCTTGCATGCATTGTTGTGACAGGCTTGGGGGACCTGCCCCCAGCATTTTATACCCCTTAATGGTCAGACTTACCTACCTGCACTCCCTGGCCTCCCTCACCTCCTACCTCTCACCTGCTGTGACTTGATCTTAAGGTACATAACTGGGGAGGCTGCCTCCAGAGGCCAGGGTAGACTCTTCCTGGGTACCTTTCCTTTTTGTACAGCCCTCAGGACTTCTCTGCTCCCAGATTCCAAACTGGGTCTCCTCTGCCACAGACTCTGCTGTGTTTCTCTTTTAAGATGACCCTGTCTTAAACCGATACTGAGCCTCTCGGGGCCCCCCCAGTCCTTTTCTGAACTTCCACCTTCCCGGCTTTGATGCCCTTTTCCTTTGGCTGAGCCCCTTCAGCCCAAGGTCACTGCCTCAGTCGCTGGGCTCCTGGCCTCAGACCCTTCTTGCTCTGTGTAGTGGCCCCTGGGGCCCCGATCCTGGGAAGGCTGCTCTTGCTTGCTGTCCCAGCCCCTGAAATCCCCTATCCTGGCAAGCCAGATCTTGCTTTGCATCACCCTGGGGCCCCTGACCCTTACAGCACTCTATATTGAGTGCTCCTTAAGCACCCCTGTGGCCTCTACACCTTCCTTATAGCCACAACTCCAGTCTTCTGGTGCTTAAACTTACACACGCAAAGTTTTAACCCTCTTGTTGCAACTCATTCCAAGCCCTGTCAGGAATATAACAGTTGCCCCTGTCCTCCCATATGGAGCTGACTTGATCCCCCACCTCCCAGAGTACATCCTCTTCCATAGCAGCCAGCTCTGCCCTTAGCTCCTTCTTCTACAACCTGCAGATACAGACAGCCAGCCCCAACTCAGAGCTGGACTTATATACAGTAGGGCTGTGCAAAATTTCGACAGCTGTTTTGTTTTGACGCTGTTTCAACTCGTTTCAAGCTCAAAACAGCGAAATCAAAATGAAACAAAAGGCTTTGAAACAGCTTCGAAACTAAATGAGGGCACTCGAAACATTTCGAAAGTTTCAAAACATTTTGAGTTTCAAAGCTGGGCTTGCTTGCAGGGAAACAAAAAGTAAGGAGAGGGAGGGGGAAGGACTGCTCTCATGTGTAGCTGGTCAGTGACTGTGATCCTTCCCTGAGGTCTCTTCCAAACCCAGTGCTCTGGGGGAGAGACGGAAAAACAGGATAAAATGCGTTGTTTGAACCGAGCTTTCTTTGTGCTTTCACACTGGCAAGTGACACGAGCCTTGCTCTGAACAGTTTGAGATGTAGTTTCCCAGAACCCCCTGCATTGATCTCCTTGAAACTTGGCAAGCTTCGTGCCGTCAGAAGGGGCTACCATCCCTGCAGTTTTCATCCCCCCTGCGCCTTAACACACACACAGAGTCACACATGTCACGAGTTTTGCTTGTCAGCAGTTTGAGGTGCAGGTTCCCAGAAACCCCTGCACCTATCTCCTTGAAAGATGGCAGGCTTCATGGCCTCAGCAGGGGCTTCCATGCCTGCTGTGTTCACCCCGCTCTGCTTTAACACACACGTGTGACAAGTTTTGCTTGTCAACACCTTGAGGTGCATTTTCCCAGAAACCCCTGCACCTATCTCCTTAAAACTTGGCATGCTTTGTGGCCTCAGCAGGGGCTGCCATCACTGACATTTTCATTCGAATCAGGAAAGAAACGGCAAAGTTCTAGGCATTTTTGTGATTCCCCATTATAGCCTCTGGGCAAAACGTTGAAACTCATCGAAACAGCGAAACATTTTTGATAAAACGGAACAGTGCTTCAAAACAGCAAAACAAAATGCTGTTCCTTTGAAACGGCAAAATGGAAGTTGAAACGAAATGGTGCTGTTTCTAACAGCCCTAATATACAGCCAAGCCTTCACCTTTCTGGTCATCTGACTGCTGTCTTTGAAAACGAGCCCCAGGGTTTCTGTTCAGCCTAACAAGCTGTTTGGATTCCCCTGCCCAGCTGTCCTCTCTGGTTACCTAGTAGTTCTAGGTCTCAAGGCCTGGGTCCCTTCTGTTGTGAGCTTTCTCCTGGCTGCTTATCCAAAATGCAGCTCACCCCAATTCAG